GGCCTGCGCCCTGGGAAGGAGAGGTGAGCGTGTGTCCCCAGCTGTGACAGGCACTGAGTGGCAGCAGCCCCACATTAGAAACTTCTTTTAAGTCCTGAACTGCTCAGTTTTAGCACAGACTCGGTGTTTTGTTGCCTGTGTGACCCAGGTTTTCCCAGCCCCTGACCACAGAGGTGGCAGCTCTGCAGGCCAGTGCAAGCTGCAGCCATCCCACTCTCTGAAAAGTCACATCTGTTCTCTGTGCTCAACACCACCCTCAAACTGTGATTTTGGGTTTTGGGAACTGGATGATCTTTAAGGTCCCTTCCAAGCCAAAGCATTCTGTAATTCTGTGATTTCAAAGAGGTGGTGAGCAGCTGGATTCAAATTCACTGAGTGTGTAGGACCTTTATGGTATTTTTTTTAAGTTTTTGCCAAAATTCCAAGCATTTTCCCCAAAAGTCTGTTACCTAGACTTTGCAGATGTGTGTGAAACAGTAGACGGTCACTTTGTGACTCCTTAGGAGTTAGAACTTCCAGACTGGGAAACTTCTGTCAAGCTCCTTGTGTAAAGTGTGTGTGTCCCAACATCTCTGCTGCTCTTTATCCTGCTGCTCCGTGCTTCCCTTCCAGCACAAACCCGGGGCCTGGAGGTGATCCAGCTGTTTCCAGAGAACGGCAACATGGGCAAAGTCCTGCCCGAATACCTGAGCAACTGGACCACGGAGAAAGTCAGGAGAGGTGAAGCTGCTGAGCGGGTTTGGGTTGGTGGCTGCTGGGCAGCTGCTCCTGGGGACATCCAGGAATTTTTTTGGGTGTGGCCTTGTCATCACATGAGATGTACTTTTGATTGTCATTTCAGCAGCTTTCAGACTTTTTAGGTGGGTTTCTGCTCGTGCTTCCCCCAGAGCTGCACTAGCACATGCAGCAAAGCTCGAGGGGCTCTGTCTCAGTTCCTCACTGGGCATCTGTCTCCACCAGCCACCTGCTGCAGGTGGGACCTGCCCTGAGCAGGCACTGACGTGTCCTGTGCTCCTTTCCAGAGGGGGTCAACGTCCTGCCCAATGCCGTGGTCAAATCCGTCTCTGTCTCCGGCAACCGGCTGGTGATTAAGCTGAAGGACGGCCGGAAGGTAAACGGGAAAGCAGGGAGAGAGTCATGTGTGCAGGGAATTACCATCCTGATTATGCATTCCCAAACAGGTGGAGACTGATCACATTGTGGCCGCTGTGGGGCTGGAGCCCAACGTGGAACTGGCCAAGTCAGCAGGGCTGGAGGTGGACTCGGACTTTGGGGGATTCCGGGTGAACGCAGAGCTGCAGGCACGCTCCAACATCTGGGTGGTGAGTGTGGGCACAGCCCCAACATCTGGGTGTGAGTGTGGGCACAGTTCTCAGCATCTGGGTGTGAGTGTGAGCACAGTGTCACACAACATCTGGGTGTGAGTGTGGGTACAGTGTCACACAACATCTGGGTGTGAGTGTGGGTACAGCCCCAACATCTGGGTGTGAGTGTGCACACAGTGTCACACATCTGGGTGTGAGTGTCGGCAGTGTCTCACATCTGGCTGTGAGTGTGGGCAGTGTCCCACATCTGGCTGTGAGTGTGGGCAGTGTCCCAGCTCTGCCGCTGCAGTGGGACCCTGCAGTGACAGCAGGAGGTGAACAGGGTGAGCAGGAGCGAGTAAGGAGAGTAGGGAGAGCGGTTGTAGCGCAGGCCCAGAGCCTGGTCAGGCACTGCAGCCGCCTCGTTGCCGTGGTAACCACGGCAAGTTTGGAATATTTATGCTGTGTAAGAGGAGTTGGGGTAACCTAAAGATAGCCTGGATCACTCGCTTGCATAAGAGTCCCTTGGTGGGCGTTGAGACTTTGATTCCTCTGGAAAACGTACTTCATGCTGCTTTATTTTTCCAAGGACTGGGGAAAAACGCTGAGAAACTGGGAGTTGTGTAGTCCAGGGAGTGGGATGAGGTAGTGTTGGTGTTTGGGGTTTGTCAGGAAGGCTCAGTTCCTTGTTCCACCTCTCCCTGATGTGTTTTGTTGGGTGGAAGCTCTCCCTGCCGCGCTGCTCACGGGCTGCTTCTCTCCAAGGCAGGGGATGCTGCCTGCTTTTATGACATCAAGCTGGGCCGGAGGCGTGTGGAGCACCATGATCACGCCGTGGTGAGCGGGAGACTGGCTGGAGAGAACATGACAGGAGCTGCAAAGCCCTACTGGCACCAGTCCATGTTCTGGTAATGGTCCTTTCCTCCTTGGGGGTTCCTTGGTTGGCCACATTGCAGGAGCCTGCACAAGATACACCTCGGGGAGTGTCTGCTTCCCAAGAGGAGTGGAACCACCTCAGCAAACACCTTGTACAGCCTCGCGTTCCTAAAGCTCAGGGCGGGGGAGGTGTTGGAGCATTTGCTGCTCTGCCCTCACCTCCCTCAAGTGTTTTTCCTTCCTGTAGATCCCAGTTTCTCCCTGAGCCAGTCCCATTCCACAGAGCAAGGAGCAACAGAGAACAGCCCTTTCCTCAAAGCAGCCTGGTTTACAGGTTGAATTTAGCAGCAGTTCTGTTACAGTTATCTGAAGTTTCCCAGCCCAGTCTGAGTGTTGCACTTGGCTGAACTGATGTTTCAGTAACAAAGCATCGCTGCATGCAGGTGTATCTGAAAAGTTGTTTTCCAGAGAGAGGTATCAGGAAAATGGGAAATTTTGCTGTATTTTCCTGAAGTTCTTTTTAAAACAAAATGAATGAAAACAGAAAAACAAAACAAAGCCCCACAAAAAAATTAAAATGCAGAAAGCTGTTAGCCCAATCAAAAACCCCAAATCCTGTTTGTTAACAGGATTTCAAATATGGATAAAAGAGTTTCAGTTTTCTCAGGGAAATCCCCACAGAAATAGTTATTTATGACTTGCTATCACTTACCTGAACTCTTGGTCTCTCCTGCCTGGACTCAGGGCCCAGAGCATTTCTCACTTCACTTTTAAACAAGAAACATAGAGCCACAGAATCCTGGAGGTTGGGAAAAACCAGAGGTCACCAAGCCCAGGATACAGAGACAGGCATTTCCCAGGGGTGCTTTCCCCTGGGATGCTCTCAGCCGTGAGCAGCTGCAGGTGAGGGAGGGCTGTGAGTCGCAGCCCCGTGGTTGCTGGCAGGTGTCACGCTGTGCCAGCCCTCACAGAGTGACACTTCCTTCCCCCGTGCTGGAGAGCTGAGAAGTGACAGGAATTCCTCGTGCATTTTGTCAGTGTGCTGATCCTCGTGGGGAGAAGGTTGTGTGGAGAGCTCAGAGCATCTGAAGGGGCTGCAAGGAAGCCAGAGAGGGACTGGAATGACAGGACAAGGGGGAGTGGCTCCAGACTGACAGGGGAAATTCAATATATGGAAGAAATCTCACCCTCTGAGGGTGATGGGCCCTTGCTCAGGGTGCCCAGAGCAGCTGTGGCTGCCCCTGGATCTCTGGAAGTGTCCAAGGCCAGGCTGGATGGGGCTGGGAGCAGCCTGGGACAGTGGGAGGTGTCCCTGTCCATGGAATGACAGGGTAGAAGAGTGGAATGAAACGGGGTTTTGAGGCCCCTTCCAACCCAGATCATTCCATGATCCCTCCTGAGCTCCAGCTGACCACAGCTGCCGAGTTACTGGTGTTCCTTGCAGTAACCCCAGTGTGTGCTGGAGGATTCTGGCCGGGGAGGTGTGCGTGGATTCATGGTTTGTGGTGGACCTGTCCTCTCAGCATCCTGGGAAACACTTCACTTTCTGGTGCCAAACCACAGCTGCTTGCTCTCCTGTCAGCACCCCAGGTCAGATCCAGGTGCCCAGTTCGAGAAGGTGTTAGGGCAAGGTTTTCTTCTCTTTAGTCTTTTCTAAATGCTCTCAAAAATATTCTCTGAATGATAGACCATGCTGCCAAGCCTGGTGTGGGTAACAGCACTGCTGGAAGCTGGGATGCCTCCAGCTGCCTCCCAGGGAGCAGGCCTGAAGGATTTCCAAGTTTTGGTCAGTGAGTTGGTTTTTCTGAAGCTCATGGCCATGGGCTTGTCATGCCTTGACTCCTTGTTCCACCTGTGAGTGCAGAGGAGACTCCGTGTCTCGATGTCCAGCACCGCCCACGCCACGCTGGAGCGAGGCCTGGAGCACGGATGGATGGAACTGCCTGGGATTTGTCTCACTGCTGCTGCAAGTTACTTTATTCCCACTTCATCCCTAGGAGTGATCTGGGCCCCAACGTGGGCTACGAAGCCATTGGCCTCGTGGACAGCAGTTTGCCCACAGTGGGAGTGTTTGCCAAGGCAACAGCGAAGGACACGCCGAAGAGTGCGACAGAACAGTCAGGTGGGGACTGGGGAGCTCCTGCACGAGCTGCTGTGGGGACCACAGCATCACCCCAACCTCTGAGAGCACGAGGAAACAGCAGTATGCTCTCTCATTTCTACACCAAGCTTTAAAGGCTGAGCTTTCATATTAAAATGTGATTAAAACACAACATTCCTTTAAGATCACATCAGGGAACACTTGTACTGCCATGCAGACTTTCCCAGGGAAGTTTGATCTCCTCCATGGCAATAAAAGGATCAGTTTGGGACAGCAGAGACTCTGGATCCAAGCAAGTTTATTTTGTATCTGCTGCCTGGAGCAAGCTGACTCTGCTGCCCTTTGCATTTGGGGGTGGAAGTTGGGGATTGTCAGTGTTGTGCTCCATGTTGGGATTGTTTCATCCTTGTGTTAATGAAACTTAACTTTTGGGGAGCACAATTCAAAGGGAAACACCTCAGGCTGCTGCAGAACTCCTGAGTCTGCTCCCATCATCACATGTCCTGCCCTGGGTGTGTGACTCCTCCTGTTTCTGCCTTAGGGACTGGAATTCGATCTGAGAGCGAAACGGAAGCGGAAGCCTCAGAAGTTCAGATCTCTCAAAGCTCTTCACCAACGCCTCAAGTCCCAAAGCAAGGAGAAGATTACGGCAAAGGTGTCATTTTCTACCTCAGGGATAAAGTCGTGGTGGGAATCGTGTTGTGGAACATCTTCAACAGGATGCCCATTGCTCGGAAGGTCAGTGCAGGGCGGGGATGATGGACAGGGGGGTTTGCTAGAGCGGGGCTTTTCTTGTGGAAAAATCAATCTGTCAATTCAAAGTGAGGATAAATAAAGGCAGATGCTGTGTCTGGTGTAGAGCTGGGCAGTATGCAGTGGGAGCACTGTTCTGGGTGAACTGGGGGAGCTGTCCCTGTGCTTTTTTGGTATTTTTGCCAATTTTTACACAAATAAATCGGGTGTGTGCTCCAGGCCTTGCCTCAGCAGGGCTGGAACTCCAGGTCTGTGGTAAGTACAGGCTGGAGTCACAGTGACGGCGCAGGCCTGAAATGTCCCATCCTTGTGCTGCTTTGTCCCATGACCAAGCGCCTGAAACAGTCTCAAATGTCACCATTCCAGAAACAGGCACCGTGGCTGGAGCAGCCCTGAGCGGGGTTTGGTGTGTCTCCACCCCCGTGGGCCTGTCCTGCACCTCCCAGCTCAGCTGAGTCACACCCGGGTCAGGTTTTAACACCCTTGAAGAATTTCGGTTGTTTAAACTCTGGGAATGATCCCACACTACCCTTGGGTGATCTGTCCCAAGACAAACTATTCATGTTGAAAGTCTTTGTTGATATCTAATCTGAAGATGCAGATGAAACATGTTGCTTCTGCCATCCCTAGGGAAGGGAGGATCCT